ACACACACACAGTATATATGTATATATTTATATAGTTTTGTCTCTTACCTGAAATAATTGCTGGCTGCTGCCAGTACAACGCGATGGCAGGAGAACACACTGGTTCCAACACACAGATCTACATCTGTCAGGGACTTCTCCAGTCTGAGGTTTTCCAGTCCATTCTGAAGAGCCAGCGTAAATCCAGTATCATCAAATTTTCGGACGTCTCCACTAGATTTTTCAATGAGCTCCCCCAGTTCTTTGGGACACCCGCTGTTGAGGGAAATGATGAAATTACCTAAATTGTTTTCCATAGATTCCCCCATTGTTGTGATGCTGTGTGTGGTATGTCTGGGTCTTTTCTTTAGATGCAGTTAGGTCACACTTAGCAAGTAAAACGGATTTCCTGCCTATGGCTCTAAAGTTATCTACAACTGTCACACGCAAAACAGGAAACTTTAAACTTTCTCAAGTTGACAACCAACATGCACCAGTCTCATTGGATAACAGGAGAGTGCTGTGTACTACAATATAAATCATGAATACAAAACATATAGACCGCAGACACAGGTGGTTCTACTTAAATAAACTGGGGTAGTAAACAAAATTGTATTTGCGCCCACTTTATTCATTATGTTTCTGCAGCAATCGTACCCGTGTCCTGTTTGACTGACAATATCTACAAGTGGTTAACAATAGTATCCTGCAATGCAGACCAAGATATGTGAGCCCCTCGGCTGCTATAGACAGGACGATTTGTCAGTGAGAATGGCAGTTGGGGAGACATGTGTTTGTGTTCTATGACAAGAGAGCTAGGCGGCATTTACTCCAAAAGCAGTAAACCTATTATTCTCTTTTCTCCATAAACAGTAAATGGTTGGCATTAACTCCTAAAATGACTTTCTTATAGATTGAATAATTTTTGAGGGGTATATAGGTTGGGGAATGCCATAATATATCAAAACAATTTATAAGTGGAATCTTCACAAGGCATTGGAAATCGAGAATGCTGAGGTATGTTCTGACCGGTAGGAGAGGGAAGCTGTCTAAGGTGAAGATTTGGGACACAGACCAACTGATTACCAGGCCAGAGTGTTGACCATATTCAGTGATGAGGAAGGGTCTGAGTCTGCCAAATAAAGGAGTATGTTGTTGGCATATAAACAATTTTTTTCAAAGTCCCCAATCTGAAGACCCTTAATATTGCGATGTGCCTGTAACACTCTTCTAGGGGTTCTACAGCTAGTGCGTATAGTGGGGATAAAGGGTACCCCTATCTTTTTTCCTCTGGAGAGGAGAAATATGTTGATGCCCAGCCATTGGCAGTGAGATTGGCGGTGGGTTGGTTGTAGAGGAGTTGCAGCCATCTAAGGAAGTTTGGCCCAGAAACTTCCTTTACAGGGCACCGACCTTTACAGAGCACACCAGAGAAAGTCCCATGTGACAGAATTGAAGGCCTTGTATGTAGTAAGGCTAACGATCACTCTTGTTCAAACTTGCTTGTGAATAGCTTGCAAATTGATGTAAAGGAGCCCGGTGTTTAGAGTAATGTTTTTCCCTCGGATAAATCCTGTTTAATTGGAATGTACAGTATGAGGCTGGTGATTACCTGGTTTAGGAGGAGGGACAGCACCTTAGAAAGGATTTTTATAGCGGTTTGTAATAATGAGATAGTTTGGTAGGATTCCAGAAGTTGTGGATTCTTCATTCTTCATTCTGGATTATTTTAATAATGGAAACATCTCCGTGTCTGATAATAAGCATTTCAGGGGGGGTCCGAAGTTTCCTGAGCATTCTCTATGAAACACCATGCATGGTCTGTTCATCTCCTGTCATGAGTTCTGATGATCAGGGAGTACAGAAGTTAACTACAATTCAATAAAAAGCACTGGCGAGTGCCATACATACTTGTTAATCCATCATAAATGTTTTTATGAGTTTCAAAATTACGGCAGCTGCCAGTGGCACACATCATGCATGCCATGGACCAGAAAGGGCAGATCAATTGACATTAATGGTCTACAATGCTGTTGAGTGTCTATCTGTGTCTCTACCTTGCTCCTCTCTATTTCCACTTGTGTTCTCCTTATACTTCTGGTAATATTGGTTGACCTGCTCCTTTCCTGCACTCCCATTTGCATGCTTCAGGTTCTAATATCCAGAATTTTGTTGAGTGCTACTTCTTGAGGAAACCCAAGTATAGAATAAGCTTATAAAGCTTGCACAAAAGGTGGCTGCTGAAGATAAACTAGCTCATCTTGTCTGCAGATCTTTTGCCTTGACTGCTTGCTGAATAACATACCCATGCCCTTTCATCGTCTACCACAGGCTTGTCTCTGATGCAAAGGCTAGCCAATTACCTTCTTAACTTAATCTATCGCTTTGACATTTCTGCAGACTACCAGACTACTGCAGACTACCAGTCATGATTCTGTTGATGGCCCCGAGCCCAGTATCAGGTGTGTCAAACCCCATATACCATAACAACCAAGCATACTTTTTCTCATGGTATATAGGATTAGAAAATTAGATGCTCACTTGGTTTAAAGTTTCTGTAAAGCCAAAACATTTCTTTTTTATTTTGGATAGAGTACAGAAGGGTAAAAACAGCTGTCACGTTATATTTTGCTGTTTGTGACCTGTTGATGAGATTTTCCTTCACCTACTGCCCCAGATACCCAACTGGAACTGAGAGGAAATTTTTTCAAAGTAAGGAGAATTCCCTTCTTAGGTAGTTCTCACTAGATTAGGTGTCACCATCAGAAGATTTCCTCTCTATCCCTGTTCTGGTACTAACTGTAAAACTTTTGATTATCCTTCACTATCTTCCATGGGGACAGTAGTCACCAGGACAAATGGAGGGATGAAACTGTTGAGCAGGGGCATAGACAACAATACAAATTTACAGGGATTCTAATCCTTCTCTACTCCATCCAACTAAAATAACTTTTGGATATATACACTATAAAGTCACCCACCTATTTGATTCGTTCTTTTTCCCACCTTTCATCACCTTCAATAACTCTTCCTTCTCCTTAAGGGTCCAGAAAGTCCATTTTGCTAACACCATGTCATGTTCACTGATCCTCAAATGAGCATGGCACACTCACAGTGCACTAACACAGTTCCAAGTTTCCTGAGTATCGTTGTCAGAAAGATAAAAATTGTCTTGTATGCAAGGTATAAAGTGTATGCAATCCCAGTCACTAAAACTAAAACGAAATAGAAAAGCTTTAACATGTTAAGTAATTTTCAATATTTTTGCCGCAGAGATGCCGCAGCTAAGCGGATCCCGACAATTGTGCCGGGATCCGTCCAGCTGCGTGACTGACAGCTGGCTCTGCCTATCTAGAGGCAGAGCCAGCTGTACCCGCCCCCTCCCCCGTCCGTTCCGCCAGTCAGCGCTGGCGGATCGGAGCGGGGAGGGGGGAATCCAGCCCCTCCCCTGTCACGGCCGTGATAGGATCGAGAGGTGAGCGAACGACGGTATGAGTTCGCTCACCTCCCGATCTACTGAGCCGACCTGTGACAGTATCATTGTCACAGGTCGGCTAGAACTATGAGGTGAGTGAAAAGCACTCACCTCATAGTTCTCCTTTAAAATAAAAAATGGTAATTGTTTATGATGCAAAGTACTTTAGAAAACTAAATGTAATTCATTTGGCGTTTACAACAACTTTATTATATGTTGCATTTCAATGTAAAAATATAGAATATGCAGAATACAGTAGTGACATGAGAGCTGGCTGGAGGAACCAGTGAGTGCAGGAGGGACACAGTAGATCGAGATTCCGAGAAGTGTCCCTTCCGGATGAACCGGATAAACCTTCAAACTGGGATTTTTCTGCATCTGAGTGGTGTTTGGCAATATGAAGAGCAGAGTGAGTATGCATTTGGTTCATAATTTAATTTACTAATTTGTATTGAGATTGTACTCTATCACAGGAGCGAGCTTGGAGAGGTGGCTCTTCTATAACACACAAAGGGACCATGGGGAAGAAAAGTAGCCCCCCTCCAGAAGGAAGGACAGTGTCAGCACCAATTCAGAGATGATTTGAGGATCTACAGCCGAGTGATACACAAATAAGATACATTTTTCTTAATAGGTAAGATACATGAATTCATTTTTAGGGTTTAATGCCGGAAGTTAGTGTCACTTTAAGTTTCATCTTAAGTGTGATGGTTGCGCCCAAAGCTCAGGGTGTGGTGGATGAGCATACCTTTAACATAAGTAAAAAACAAAGACCTAATACTGTATATTGTTTTTAGGTGTATGCCTTATATGTGGTAATGTAGCTTTGCATTTAAGTAGACTGAACCTATAGCACTCCACAACCACAGGGAACATCTGCTTTGTGTTTGTAACAACACAATAGCAAAAGCCTGAGGTTTGAGTAACCCACACCTTGTGCACACTTTTTACATGTACTTTGATAATGTCAAAGAAGATGTTCTAATATATGTGCTTGTGCTATAGCAGCCTCTCTCAACCTTTTCACCATGTAGGAACCCCTGAAAAAAGAAACGCCTGCTAGAAATGATTGTATTTACAGCTCATAGTACAGTAGCATGATGAATAAGTTGTAAATACAGTAATAAAGGAATGAGTAATGTAGCGTACATATTTGATGCCAAGAGAAGAGCATTTTAAACACCCCCCTGCACTACACAAATTTAATCAGCAATAATCATAAAATGAAACTAGTAATAATAATGGCCAGAAAACATGGTGGTCAGTGCAGCGCCGCTTTACATTGGGGGTCAGTATAATAGTCTGTGATGATGGGCTTTTGTTTGCCTTAAGCAGCTTTTGCATTGCCATACAAGTCTAGGGGAATGCAATACCCACTTGAAGCTGATCAAATGCAGGTCAGAAGGAAGTCAACTGAAGGTCACATGCACCTGTCAATGACTTCTGACTGATCCCAGAAGCTTCTAAAACGGATCCCCAGAGATCCACAGAACCCTGGTTGATTAAAGCTGTGCTATATTATCGGCTGTACACACTGTTTCATAGCTCCCAATAGCCCCTGAATTGGAGGGACTGTCCCTTTTTTTTACACCAAATCCATCAGTTCCTCTTTCTTCCTATATTATTCCTCTTTTTGCTCTGATGTATAGAAAAAAAATTAACTCTTTGTTGGAAATGCAACAGCATATTCTAATGCAGGGCTCAAAATTTCAAGTCCTAAGCTACTAGCCAGGCCTGAAAAGTTACTCACCACCAGTTGCCCCACCTAACCCCTACCCTGCCCCGGCCTTAACTCCGCCAGGTCAGCATTGTGACGCAGAGTATAAAGATCAGTAACAATGCATAGTCCAAAAGATGTGGACTGGGAGGGGGGGCTCTTTAAGACTGC